ATCCTTGCTTATGTAGTATCAATTACTTATCATAAACAAATCAAAGCCAACCTCTTGATGTTTAACTTTTAGATGTGCACAAATATCTATAACTCTTTGATGTCATTTGTATTGTAATTAAAGGTTTATATCAGTATATTGTGACATGTCATGTCATGTCATGTGACAGTGACATTTGATTGTAAAGTAAAACACAATAAGATGTAACATGCCTACAACACATGAACAATTAAGACAAGTAAACTAAACAGTTATAATAACTCTTTTTCTGAATTAAATCACTCCCTATCTGTCTACACACCTGTTTCTTTCAGCTATTATTAAACTCTCCTCTTATAATGCCTAGTTTGATGCCACATCCAGTGTTTCTGTGAATTACTTGGAAATGTTCCCACCATGACCAATACTTTCTCAAACTTAAAATTTGATGCTTGCATTGGACCCAGTGAAAAAATGGATGTATTACCTACCAAATTATGGATATCTGATGTCCGTCTTTGATATGGAGGACTCAAGTCAGACATGCCTGGTAAGCACAGCTGTTATCAAGATGCATGAGTAAATTGATGCAATACTTACAATTATTATCAGTCCTACAAGTTCCTACTGACTGGTAAACAGCCATATCGAAATATGTCAGATTTTCAGATCCAACTTTTAGGCACCAAGCACAAAATATTCCAAAAAGAAACCTTCGCCTACATGGTGTAGACCCACTAGCTCTGAGAGAGTAGAGCTAACCTCTGACATACCAGAGCAATAAAGAATGAAGAACTATGAGATAATAATAGATTCTATTCTAACCTGTAATAAAGAGATGGTGTAAGGCTAATATTGGTTAATTATATCGGTATGCCACTATACCTGTTACACTAAATCAAACCATATTGTCAATATTATCATTAGACTCGTTCAGTTACAAATTGTTATACTTGCATAACCTTTTATATACCAGGGCTGATAATTTGCTTGAATTTGCCAGTCATGTCTGACTAAAGATTCTAAATCTTAATATATTCCAGATTATCATTGATTTATAATATACAATATCCCAAAATATTCTCATCACAACCTTTCTTTGGTTAAATTTTTATTCAGAATCTTAAAAACTTGATGTTATAGCTGTTATAGTATCATGAATGAGTGCAGCTTATTTTTAAGCACATCAGCATTTCCCATGATATATGTATTTAATGCATTGCCTTGAATACTTCAAGCCATTAACAAGGCTAGTTTTAGCTGCAAGATTCCATTGAGAAGAAAAGAATAGGAATATAGAAAACCAATAATTATGTTGGTCTGGCCTACCATACTGATGTAATAGTAATAAAGACATGTGAAGGTCATGTACCGAATATTTGTAGTTTAAACTAGACTAGTTCCCGATATTACTATAGTTGTTCAATATATATTCCAATATTATTTTCAGGACATGATAATACAGTTCCTGATAGCTCAATATAGGTGCAAATGTATCTAATATACCAACATGAGAGATGGAATATTTGTTGATACAATACTTAGTACTTAGTATGCAAATACCTCCAACAATTAAAACTGCTTGGTATTTGGTTGAGGAAACTGATTTTTGTTGGAATGTGTTTTATATTGGCAATGTGTGTCAATTATTAATTTATCTTATATAATATGTTTTATCACAGTAGGCTTCTAAAAACACTTACAGGTAAAACTGAATTTGTTGGTGTTTCCCAAAAATTTACCAGTAAATCAGGGTTTGAAATAAGCGGTATCGCATCGCAGTTTGCGATACGATTTTGGGCAAAATGCGGTGTAATTCTCGTCAACAGAGCAGTTTTTTTGCGATACAAAATAATTGTCAATTTTTTGTCAATTTTTCCTGTTTTTTAAAAAATCTGGTACAAAAGAAATTCACGGTCTTTAAAGTGTATGGAAAGTCAATTATGGGCCACTTGACACCTACCGTCTATGTTTTATATATATCCTATTGTATCCAATTCCAATCTTATAATCAATAATAAAGATACATGTATAAGTAAAACAAAGACGATCTGTGTTTAATTCCCGTTTGTTTACAAAGACAGTCCGCCATTACATTGTATTAATCACATGACCACATGACGTCATTTTTGGAACCATCGTTAACCTCATAACCTTGATAGGCTACGTTAATGTTTACAATATTTACATCAAAATGCCGAATTCTTTATTTTTATAGAAAATATTCTAAATTGGAAAGATGACATAGCCAGAAAAGTGTTTTAAAATTCGATTCGCATATGAGACCCCATTAGAAATATATTATAGGTTCCTATTTTTAATTAATACTAAAAAAAATCAGCATTAAACTTAGCCAAAAAGATGAAATATCAATTTTCCAACATAAAACGGTGGTAATGGCGGCCATTTTGGAACACATTTGAAGCGTAACAAAAGCGAAAAATGAAGTTGATTTCATGACATTTCAGTTTATATGAAACACTAAACTCATAAATGATTTAAAACTATCATTTCTTAATTTAAAGTATATTTTGAGCGGATAATTTCATATTATTTCAATTATTTGATCAGAAGGTCTACTTTCACTTTATCATTAATTGGTAGGCCTATCCGATGTGTGTGTTTTACCAATTCAGACTTGGGAGTGTAGGAACTTATGATGTTATGAAAATTACCTATTGTCTTGAAAATAAATTATAATTAAGTTACATGTATTATAAAATAGTTTTAATCTTATAATGACTTGTTCCGTATATCACTTATAAAATGAGTGTGAAGAATTCATACAAATAACGACCATATTTCTCCACTATTTACCCCATTCATCATGGAATATCTCAAAGACTAATCAAGATATTTTAATTCTGTAAAATTTTTCATCGAGAGGAGATATGAATATTTTGAAGCGGGCGATTTTTAATACAAAATGAACGCTACGAACCAGTCATTATAAATTTATTTCCCAATCGATCTCCATTTTCATGAATTTCGGCAGTGTCATCGTCCTGGTTTGGCCTTTTACTGTCAGTCACCCCATCCCGAGGACGCCTAACTGGCTCGAACTGGTAGTCCACCATACCCCCTAACATTTCGTATTCATCTTCTTCGTCTTCAGAATGAGATGAACTGTGAGTGCTTGACGAATCGTTTTCATTATAATACATAATGCCCGCCACATTGTTTATCTGTCAGTGTAGCGTTCCCAGAAACCACCGCGTCATGTCCATAATTTACGTCACGCATACATTAGCGGACATTCGAATTTTTTTTCCGCGAAAAGTATAGTGGCATTCAATTCAATCATTAATTATTTATCAAATACAAAAGTACACCATATTAAGACTTTCCATACTCTTTAATAAAAAAAAAATAAAACCCGTTTTCGTTTGAACTGAGATCGTCTGATAAGCCTTTATCATTAGTCTTTGGTTAACCTGAAGGAATATTACTTAGTAATAGACATTCATCATTATCGTATTGACAAAAGGTTGTGCCAATTTTAAACCAGTAATTAAGATTTTATTGATAGAAGTACCTTATTTAGCGACTTTTACGATCAAATTTTGATCTACCTCATCGAAGGAAAGATTATTCCTCTGGGTCAAATCATTCCTGCAACCCAGGGGTAGCAGGTGGTGAAAGTTTTATGTGTTATTAAAGTTATTGAATGATCGAAAAGACAATTTCAATGGACAGTAAACAAGTTCATCCAAATTTATTTTGCATCAAAATTTCAATCAGATATTTTGAATTGAAATCGAAAAATATATACAGATACATTGATTTAACCATCTATCAACCCATCAGTTGAAAGGTGACAGTTTCTCTGGAAGCCACACCCATAATATGGTCATCAAAGGAAAACTGTCATGGCGACGGTTAACTTTGAACTCTAACCTCATAAATTGGCACCGTCATCAATTAATCTTTGATCGAAATATTGTAAACTATCAACACCTTTTTTAATTCCACAACTTTAATTGCCGATATGTGAAGGAATGATCAATTGTTTTACTATTATTGTTCCAAGTGATACAATAGGACTGAAATCGGAATAATTTAAAAGGGACAATAGTTCATGCTCTTTCAGCAGTCCAATCTGAAGAAAAGAACAGAGTCAGTTGCTCTACATTCTGAAAAGTGCTATGCAATTTCAGCTGCTGCACGCTAAACTGCTCCGTAAAATTTGAAATTGCTATGCAATTTCGGCACATAGAGCAAAAAACTGCTATGCAAAAAAAAAAAAGTAATTTGAACCCTGTAAATTTATAATAAGATACAATTCTTGTTATTTTTCAACGCTAGTTCAAACTCCCCCTTTAAGTTGAATGAATTTCATATAATCTTAAAATAAAGATAGAATTCTGATAAAACTTTCTTATTATTTAACTTTTCTACAAGAGAAGTAAGCTTGGTTGTTTAAATATTACAGACAAATACTGAACTACCTTGAAATAATATCATATATGCATTAACTGAGTAATAACGGAAGAGTTGCCTCCCATTTCATTATAAATTTATTAATTACACAGTTCAGCTTAAAACAATTAGTTGAAGAAAATCCATACCAGGTCATCAATAAAGATCAATACCACAACCACTAGCATAAGAGTTGTACTACATTTTTTTGTAGGCACAAATTTGAAGAAATAACCCTGAGATGCAAGTTGTATTAAACAACATGATTTGGTCATTATGATGATATCTGATTTCAATTTTCAATATTTTTTATAAATCTTCTTCTGAGAGTTGTTTCCCATTTTGTAGTTTGTGGCTTTGGTCACAAGTTTCAGATCAAAAATTTTATTCAAGAAGACCACATGATTCTTTGAATATAGGTGTGAAGACAACAATAAAAGGATATCATAGTAGGAAAGTAAGGAATGTAAAAAGAAATAATGTAGAATGTTATTTAGGTTCATGTCAAGATGGATGCTATCTTTAATACTGCACAAAAACTTCTTAAATACTCACACTAAATTAAGAAAAATTAAGGCATAAGATGGGTTTAGATTTCTATATCAAGAGACAAATAAAAATAAAAACTCACCAAAATACTTCAAAGTTTCTCTTATTTGCTCATCATTTAAAGCTACATTCTCATCAAGGGGAGTAACTGGTGTTTGAACAATAAAATCTTCGTGATTATAACCAGTAAAGTCTGTAATAGTATCGGCTCGAAGACGATATTTAGGAATCTGTTCTTCGATAAGACTTAATATTTCTACTTCGTCAGGGTCAGAACTATTACACACATCTACAAAATAATCAAATTAATCAGTGGTTTTTATTTTTTACCATTCAGCACCTTACAGAGCTAATAATACAAAATACAGTACAGTATATCTTCTAATATTATACTCTATCATGGTATTGAAAAGCAATGAATGCAATGTGTTATATTTTACTAGTTTATTGGACTAATGTGAAAACACATTCAATAGCTCAACACCAGTATAGTTTTTTGGTCTACAATTTGTCAACATAGTATCTTTCAGGCCTGATCAAATACCAGGTTATTTTCAGGTAAAAATATAAAACAATGCAAATCACATAGGATTCCAAATTATCAAGACAAATGACTTTGTACTTGGGATTAGGGAAGGGGAGTGTTTTTAATATAGATAATGTTTACCAGTAATAACTCCTATATCATGTGTTTTAACTAAGGACACCACATCTTGTCCTTTAGTACTGGTAACATGATCATTGGTAGATAATATCTTACTCGCGTTGTTTTCACTCTCATTCTGGGATGCCAGCTTGTCTAAAATATGATCACATTCCGAAACACCCAAAAACTGGGTATCTTCTACAGCCTCACAGTTGATTCTTAAATTCGGAGCCACCTGGAATGAAACAATGAGTTCTGTCAACATGACTTGGTGATAGAGATAATTTATGTGGAAGGATGAAAACCTTGCCTTGCTCATAATAACTAAGACAGTAATTATAGTGCATTTACGCAGAATTATAATTTAGACTTGGACTTGAAAGTTTTCATGGGTAGATTTTCATCATAGCTTAGATAGAATAGAAGAAAACTAGTTCCATTTCAAGACTCGCTTATGACAGTCACACAGAAAATGCAGATTGAGTTTGAAATCATCATTGAGGAATGAGATGGAATGGAATGGAGTAAAAGATAAAGAGATTTGAAAGAGTGAACTCCTGTGCAAATATTAAAATTTATTCACACACCTGTTTAACAGAAAAAAAAAATCAACCACTATGAAGAATAAGAATTTGTTGCCAGAAAGTACTTCAAGATAATTTAGTATTTAAAATGCTGCAACACATTTATTTTCAAAAATAAAATAATACATACAGATAACATTAAATCTTTAGACTTGACTTTGTGTTTTGACCTTTTGATGTGAATATTCATTTATTCTGGTTAGGTTATATCTACTTTATCTTACACTGACAATGTCAATATTACAAAATTTATCATGTTACACTATTAATTCACTTTAATTTACACTCTCAGATATTCAATAATCAACCAAACAAGCATTGGCCAAAAAAATCATAAGAAAAAGACAGGGCAAATTTATTTTTTGTGCTGGGACAATGAAAGGGGTTACGTTAAAATTTTCCATTACACTGTATTTGTCACTGGTTGTTTTCAGTTGTATTTTCCTGGTGGGAAAATGTACAGGCATGCATTCAATAATTTCACTTTTACATGTAAATGACTTATACAACGTTCTTAGAAATAGCTAGTAGACGTTACAAGACAGTCATACTATAGGTCTATAAATAGATTATTAACAGACGTGACAAATAGCATGTTTCTTAACACAATCATAGAACCTTTATCTTATACACTACAGTTTAGACTGTAAATACTACATAAGGTAAGGAAAAGATTTGTCAAATAGGTTTACAAGTTTGGTTTAAATCTCTATATTTCAGAATAATTTAATTGTATTTATTTTTATTACATTTCATATAAAAAACAGAAATGGTTTGCCATCATGACATCATCAAATCCTAGTACCATACTTAAAATGATTTCTTTGGCTTCTCAAAATTTGCTGTTTGTTTGCATCAAAATTGTCCATCTTATACAAATGTACCAGCCTTTTATTTCTTACAGAAGATTTACCAATGTTCTGTTAGATTGTTCATTATTATTATTATGTCTTAGATTACTTTCCTCTTAGTGCATTTTCAAGAACTTTCATCAGTATTATTCATATAATTATTTATTGCTTTATTGTAAGTTTAGGTTGTGGTTGTATATAGATGGAATACTCAAGATCTGATCTTGATGCTCATTAGTATTATCTATTAGCTAGGCTTCGTTTTTCATTCTTCTATAATGAATATACATTATTAAATTAACAACTATCAGAGGCCAAAACAACCCTATCCTGATAGAGATTTTGGATCTTGAGAACTTTAAAATTCATTCTAAATCAATGGTTTCATCAAAAAAGAGACAGCATTACTAACATATAGCTAATAAAGGTAACATTTATCACCTACCAAACATGAGGAATGTAAATCCAATTTCATTTCAAAATTCAATTTCCATTAAAACTACATCTACATAAAATCACATAATTTTACAATGAAATAACATTATCAGTATGTAACGTGTGTTTTAACAGTCAAATATTATTCAGTCTCAGGCTATGTATTCTTATTATAGAATTTGCCCTTCAGCATCATTTGAATAAAAAATGGAAGGTCTCCTTCACGCATCAGTAATTTCCCAGTGAATAATAAAAGATAAACTTGAATTTCATTCAAAATTTGGAGAGTTTCATTTGACCAATGAAATTTGATAAGCTCATAAACAGTGATTGTATAAAGCTCATTTTCTATGAATTCATAATCACACATGACTAGACCTATCGCTGGTAATGGTGAGATTCCTAAGATCATGTGCACCTTCCTGGTTTATCAATTGATATTTATTCATATGTGAATGAAAAATGTAGAGACAACAGAAATGACTACAAGTTGATGTGGTTGCAAATAAATATGTGGCAAGCATAAGTGTAGAAAACTTAAAAAAATTAAATTTGACTGAAAACTGTCAATACAACTGTTAATAAAAATGAATGCATAACAAAGAAAATTTTAGATAAAAGATAAGACTAGTACAATTCATGTCCAATGAAGGTTAAAATTGAAGATTATCCCCATACCTTTTCAAAATACATAGTTAATAATGTGAGATATCTTAGTCTAGTATAGAATCATAATCCAAATATTCCTAAACAAACAATAACCCTGTATCCTCTACCACATTGACACAGTTTGAACTGTTCATATCAACAGCTGGCTCAACATTAACCAATCAAATCCTATATTATTCAATATTAGCTCTCAATGCTCATATCAGCAGATTACACTGACTAGGGATGTTGATTCAAGTGAAATTTACCAAAAAAGCTTGACTTAATCTTCAGAATGTATGATTAAAGTGTAACTGCCACAGACCTTGACAGTGACATTAGCCAGTAATAATATATATCAATATAGCAAGAGGATGTTGAATTTAATTTGATAGAGATTAAAACATAGATAATTCCAATCATATCTTACAGGAACTCTAACACTAAATTTCCAATTTCCTCAATCCAAAGATTTAGCCAAGAACTATATTGCAGAAAAAAGGTACAGGAGCATACCAGTATCCTTATATGTGTTTTTCATTGGTTTTATTTTTTATTTCAGTGTGCTAATCATTCCTGGATCAATGCCCTGAAGATGTAACAACCAATTATTGATGAAATGAAGTCTAACATTTAATGCAGCTGATCTGACTTATGAAGACAAGCAATATGCACTATTAAGGGTAATTTAGCCAGAATTTAATTTAAACTGTCAATGGATTTGTATCATTTACATTTACCGCTAAGGATATGAACTTTGCATGTTTTAAGTAGCTCTTTTTTACAGATTTTTTTACTAGGATTTGCAATGTCAGTGACTATAGAGGTTGATATATGCCAAAGCATTATTCCAAACAATAAAAAATATTATGAAATGAATGGAGTTTCACCTACTACTATACTGGACCTAGCAGGCGAATGAAAATGGACAATGCCATGCAGTGAGCAATGAGGGAAATTTTGCCAAGACAGCATTAGCCTACTTCAGCAGCACAGGCATCTGTTTCTATCAATAGTTCACTCTCTCTATAATAGTATATGAGTTGAGATCTTTAAGTTTAACCTGCTATGTCTGTCCTGTAGCACAAAGTCAAAGAATCTCAACAACAAAGTAGCCTACACAGAATAAAGATGAGATACATAGTACAATGTCGTCTTATTGGTAAAGGAAGGATTTATTTTATTTAGATCTATTTTAAATAATGAAGAATGGAATGTGAATGGAATGTGATTGATAGACGGTCAACAGGTGCTTTTTCAAAATCGTGATCGTATTCGATTTCTAAATATTCTGACTGATGACTCACCTTCCCACCTAAAACTACAGCGTTTTCGAGAAAAATTTTGGCGATTGGTGGAGATCAGAGTTTTCTAAAAGACTACCATTTCTTAACAAGTCATCCAGTAACTTTCCTTATTCTTATGATGGGTTTTTGACTGACTTTCAGCTTGTTTTGAGAAAGATGCAAGGTGATACCCGGAAGTGGTCAAGATTAACCAGACTTCTGCTTAGCAACTGACATTTTTCAATTTGACAACCGAGACTTTACAAATTATATAACAAGGGAGATAAGATCATCAATATATTCTAGACAACAATTGAAGCCAAACATGCCCTTGAATGCAAAATAGAAGGTTATAATAACAAGTTAGAGAGTACGAGAGATATATGATGTAGGAAAAACTCCTTATGGCTCACTTATTATACTGTATTTTCAAACCAGCCCTGAGGATAATATGACTACAGGATTTGCTTTGGTCATATTTCAAGTATGCGATTCCTTTCTATAAACCAGGTCTAGGATTGTCATCTGCTGGGGTGATACCATTTAGATGTGTTGTAATTCAGTTTTATGTATCAATCCAAACATAAATGGTCTCATATAACCCAAGAGAGATCATTGACAAGAGATTCAGCCGAGAACGTTCTAATAGATTTGTGCAAAAGGCCCTATCTTGATATCTGTATAGTGGGAAAAGGAATCAAGTCTAAGTCCATCAGAAGAAAGAAACAAAATCAGAGAATAAAACTATATATTTAATCTAGGATATTTTATAATGTACAAATCTTTGCAACAAAGTCAATTTATATACAAAATCATATTTTACTCATTTTGAATTTGGTTCCCAAGTTCAATACACTGAATGAGCTTATCAAGTTATTTATTTGTATCCAGGAATTTGCAGAATTATTTTCTCTATACATAGATGTGTCCAATATATCATGAAAGATTGGTCACAGAAAGGACCAGATATATACAATAGAAGTAGATTTAATAGGATTAGGAATAAACTTTTATATTTTAAACTTCAATGACCACCTCTTGTACCTCTCATATCTGCCTGACTAAAGCCTCACGTTGAGCATGTTGTTGATGAAGTATTTTAATTATGTTAAATTAGCACTATTTTTGATGAATGTAACAAAATTGATGATGTCACAGATGTGAAAACATGATAAAAATGCATCAAATTCACTGATAAAATGAATGACAAGGAAACAAGAAGAAATCTCAGAAAAACTTTTTCACTGAAATTTCTTAACATGACAAAAGACTATGTTCACATCCATTGACCCCAATTATTAAGTATTTATACCTTTTTTTACTATCTCAAAAATTGTTTTCATAGAAAGTGAGAAAATTTAACTTGAGAAAAAATTGAATCAATATTGGTTTCAAGGAGGTAGGTGAGTTACATAAGAAAATGACAGAGTAAGAGTGGTAATTAAAAAAATGAAGAAGTCTAAGTTCTAGTAACCTTGTTAGAAGTTGACTCATCAAAATAAAATGGTCAATAAAAACAGGTACCTGCTCTCAACAACCCAACTTAGCATCTGATAGGTAAAACAGTATTAAGATTGATTTCATTAATGTATCAGATTACAGCAGTTATCTATAACATTATCTAAGTTATGATTTCAGGATTATAGCCCTCCTGACAACAGTGTATAGAATAACAACATTGCAACAAGTTATTACAAATATACAATATCTATATTTCTATATTATGTACACAAATTATAATTTTATACATCATTATTGCTCTTTGTCTTCTAATAAAATCTGACATGACCTCTGTAATAATCTCTATCTATTTCACTTTATAAGATAAAGATTTATCATTATGTTACTCAATAAAATGCTGTTAATAGTAATGTGAAGACATATCTAACATCTTTTTAACTGGTATACAATATTTTAGTAGTTCTGATACAATTACTTTTGTTCCATAGTTTATTATTAATATATTAAAACAAGTAAATGACATCAGCAAGAAAAAACAAATGACTTTTTCATGTGAAGTCTTCAATTCCAAAAAGAAATACACTTTTATGTCCCTTTTTGAAGGACTATTATCAGGTCATAAATAAACAAAATTCTGCTTAAGACAATTCAAACCCTATGAATAGATACTGTATTTATGACGGAATACCTAACATATGACCTGGATGTAGGTTTTAAGTTCAGACTGTGTTTGGATTTCTTCAGTAAAATAAGTTGATATAATATATGATGATCCCTGTATCTGAACCACTTTTGACAAAAATAGAGCTAATATTTATAATGTAAATATAAAGAATGTGTACCATAATTGAATTCATGTACATAATTGAATTCATGTACATGAAGTTACAACTTTTGAAATGTGGATAGCTACTACCTCCAATGAATAATTGATCTTTTTAAAAAAAACTCTTACAATAGATTAAAATATATTCACATTATTTCAAACACCATTGTAATATTATTTGAGAAGCATGGTGATGGGTTTACTATTTTAGTTTAAGTGAAATATCTCCCTTGACATAATTTTTACGAATCACTAGAATTAAATTTGTTAAAATGTCTATAAATTAAAAATACATCAAAGAAAATATGGTGTCTGTGTCCTAGGTGGGATAATTCTTTCATTATCAGGTACAGCACGGAATAATTTGGCTTCTCGACTATCTGAGTTAGTAAATGATAAAACTGCTGCTATATTTCCACATCTATAACAATAATTTGGTGCCGACCATACAGTCACTAATTTCTCATCAAACATATACTTATAACCTAGAAAACAATCAATTACATATACAAATAACCTATAATAAAAATAAGAATATACATAAAAAAAAATAGAATAACAATATAGAATAAAAAACAAATTGAATAACAATACAAAATATATATCTATAATATAATATGTTATATATTAATGTTGAAACGGTTAATCAGTTAACCGGTAGTATTTCACGGGTAACCGGGTCTGATTTGAGATATTCGGATAACCGTCAATTTTATAAGAAGTAAAAATAGAGCAATTTTGACAGAAAATTCGTCACTGTATGAGTCTTTAAGCTGTTTTCTTTAGTAAATAAACATCTTTATTGATCTTTGAATTTAGTTAAGGTGTTGGATATAATGAAAAAATTCTTATGGATTACAATTACTAACTTTATTTAAGCGATGTTTCGACCAGTGTTCTCTGGTCTTTATCAAGCAATGAATAATATTACAAAGATTAACAAGCATATATATAGGTAAAGAGGAAACAACATAACAAAACAAAGGATTAAGAACCCAATTAAAGTATTTTACTTCTAATGTTTGATAAGGTGATCATAGGCTCTGGGAATCTATGTTGATTGACAGATTATGTCTTCTTATTTGGATGGCTTCAATAATTTTCCTTTCTTTCTTATTGTTTTGTTGATGGCTAATGTAATCATTACATTCGTCTGAACTCAGACCTGCTCGTAATCTTACATTGAAGCAGACACTTCATAGGTTTGTTTGGTATCTGTCGATTTGTGCCGACAATTCGCAGGAAACTAGCCAAAACCTTCCTGGGTACTCATTTACACTTACTCTAGTTTTGTTAACGGTGAGTTACCACAGCAAATGCGGTTTTTTACTCCTTTTATAATCTTTAGTAATTAACCGGGATTAACCGGGTAACAAACGGTAATTGCCGACGATTACCCGGTTCGTAAAATTCACTAACCGTTTCAACACTATTATATACCTATTACATTTATATAATATGTTACATATCTATTAGCTAATAAAGCAAGACATTCATAAAAAACCCAACTATATCTTTCCTTAATTTTTAAAAAAAAACATAAGTGACAAGACTTCATTATATCATCAATGAACAAGCCATCATAATAAACATGGATATAAGAGTTAAATCAAATCAGTAGCAATGAAATTGGAATCATTCTCTTCTTTGAATGAAATTATTGACCTTACCTTCATGTACTAACTGATGAGCTCGACAAATTAATTTCAAATTATTGATATGTACAAACTGAAATATAAATATTAATACAAGTCAGTGAATAAAATACTTAGAGATATATACTTGAAATTCTCTATGATGATAAAAGTCTGATGCAAGTCATAAATGAACTATTTAACTTAAAGAGCAATGAGAAAATAATATCGTATTCAAATTGTTATAATCATATAATATTTAAACTGTTTAGGAGACAGTCACTGTTAATGACAAAAAATATTTCCAGGGGAAATTACCAGAACTATTCCCTACTGGGTGCTATAAAACTCTCCTAACTATTACAGAGTGAAGTCATGATGAACTTACTTCGTTGGTGACTTTTGCTCCAAATAACCAGCCAGCACCTCTAGGGCTCATTGCCCAAGATTCCACATCTTCTGGATCAGACCATACTAAATCTATACAGGTGTTAAGGTTACAATTCAAAGATATCATATACAGAAATTTCTATTTGTTTACTTTTCAATACCAATAATAATATTTTGATACATTCAATTAAAACCCCTTGGTCCATTAATCTTTCCCACACATTCATATTTTTACAATAATTTCTTCACATTATCATATTCTCAAAACCTTAAGACACCATAACTGATCAATCAAAAATACACAAGAATGTGATGACAGTATAAACTTCATACATTTTATTGAATTCCTGGAGAACTGGACATAATATTTTCAAGAGTGCTACAGATAGCTCAGCTATTTGAATAAATAAGAAATAGATGAGTTCCTGTTAAATTCCAAACTCTCTTATGACAAATACTTCAGATATACTGATATATGTGGTAAAATGTGTTGTTAAAAAAGATACCACAAAAGGCTCCTTTATGAGGGATTTCCTGATTTCTTTCAATAACTCGAATTTGATCAATTGTTTTAATATCTGGAGACAGGCCACCATGCACACATAAAATACACTCATCTATAATCTGGAATTTAAAAGGAACATGTTAAACACACTTATCATGAGGCTTACAAATCTTACATAACTTGAACTCCTTGTCACAAAAAATATTATGATAAACAATTATTATAATTTAGATCTAATTCTATTTACTAAGTAAAGCAACTAACACTGGCCATAAAACTTCAATGATTTGCTAACTAATTAATTTCATTTGAATATAAGAGGGCTCAAACATTGCACATGTTTAAATAACTAATGAAACTTGCTTGAATTTATGTTAACATTGTACATGGCTAAAGTACAAAGATTGAAAGCACGAAGCCTTAAAAAATAACTCACTGCAGCTATAGTTAATAAATCAAAGACTCTACAACAATACCTCCATGCATTGGCATTACCATATTTGGTTTGACATTCATCTGAAAAAATATTCTGTAAGTTATTAGCTGTAAGTTATTAGATATCAGTACCCCTGAACTATTTACTTATTGAGCTCTCTCAAATATACATTTTTAAGAAATTTGCATACAAATTACGAAGATTAAGAACACTATTCTAATATGAGAAGTTCTCTTCACCTACCACTTTGACTATCATAAAATATTATATCATTCAAATATCTAAGACATGCATCTTCAAAACTTCCAAATTTGTATTGAAATGGAATGAAAATTGAGCAATAAGGGTAAAATTATAACTTTAAGAATAAGAAAAACTCACCATAAAAACCATAAATTTGTGTAATTTGTCTACTTTCATGATTACCTCTTAATAAAACTATCTTATCAGGCCACCTAAATAGATAACATATATATAATACTTAAATATTAGATAAACATGTTGGTATGGGTACATATATAGACTGAAATAATTCCTGCTTTTAAATTAAATACTCTGAATTTGAGACTTTGTATAAAGAAACACTGCAAGGATTATAATGATTATAATAGTCAGAAATGTCTTATTTTCTTTCTGAAAAGTGGTTCATTTTTCTCAATATCGGTCATAATTAAACAACTATCAATACTAGTGTGCCAGTCATCTATTTGACACGCATCCACTTTCCATTGAACTCCTTCAAACATACATACTTCAATATCAAACTGTACATAATGAAACTGTCAGAGCTTATTTGTATAATTAGGGTGTTTCTGTTGATTGTTTCTATATATAATAAGGATATAACTTACTTGGCTTTTAATGTGAGTAATAAAGTAAAAGTTTCTAAACTAAAATATCCTCTATCTACAAAATCACCCTGAAAACAAGCAACATAATGTTAATTACACAAAAAAAACCATAATATCTTCCTTTTCAAAAATCATTAGAATAAGGTAAGCAAAGTTTCAAAAACTCCAATTTATAAGCTTATGTTTTACATAGTGATGCAGATATAAGAACATATAGGCCTTAAAGATGGGTTCCCTTATTTTTATTTATGAAAATGGAAATGCTAATAGTTATATGAATAGAAAGTAGAGGTGTTCTAATGACTTGGAAAAATACCAGTTTGTCTCACATGTCCATAATTAATGCATACTGAGCTAAATTAGAAGAGAATTACCAGCAGAATTCCAAAGAGTGACCAATCAAGAAAGGTCAAAAAGCCTTTTTTGTTTATCCAGACTGTACATAAATGGACATTTATGATTGGTTTAAACTTGAAATTATATTCAATAACATTTATAATCATATGATTAAGAATACATGACAATTCATTAGAAACACCAATTAATCAAATAGTTTGCTTAATTTGAAATCCATCTTGAAATAAAACAATGTTTATCAGGGTTGTTGACTTGAAGTCTCAGCCAATCATGAATAAATGCCTTGAAGAACTAATGACATTTTCATTGCCTAGTATCAAGACATCAAATTTGATTCAATCAATATAAGGTAAATGCCAAGATAAATTTGTCCAAAAAAATATTTAAAATTCTCACCATAAAAACATAATTAGTGTCTGGCATCTGACCACCAGTTTTAAACAATTCTATCAAATCATAAAACTGAAAATATAAATAGAAATTTTATAAGGAAATATTGTTTATCAAAATAAAATGTCACTGACAAAGAGAGCTTACTCTTCCTGGTACACATGGCATTATTCAAACTCTGTGACCCAACACAGCTCAATATGTTTATAAACTATTGCCAACCTATGCCATAGCAGTGGTTTCCTTTAATATGAGATTACAATGTGTCTGATGTCTATTTCTGTTGTGGATGTAATGTTTCAAGGTAATTTTCTTACCTGCCCATGGATGTCACCACACACTGTGACTGGTGTCGTTACTGGTTGTACATTAGATTCTTCTAATAACAGCTCACAAACCATATCACATAATTTCTATAATAAACAAAATTATATTACATTAAAATTGTATATAAGATTTACTTCAAATGAGTGTAACAGAATAATCTGATGTTTTTATTCAAATAATCGGGTAATATCTCAGTCAGTCTGCCCAAAAAAGAGTTTGACATAGGAAACAGAAATGTTAGAACATCGTGACATGACACACAGGTACTTATGCCATGGACAGGATAACCTTTGGTGAAGCATATGAGATTTAGCGTGTCAACTGATGTATTATTATACTTTTTATACAACATCAGTTGATTGGCAAAATCTCAAATGTTTCACCAAAAAAGAAAGGTTATAAAAATCCTGTCCAGAAGAACCTGTGACATGATGTTGATAAAATGAATGAGACCATCAAAGTAAATAAGACAAAAAGGCGTCTAAATTGGGCTTAAATATCCTCACGAAGTAAGACCTAAGCCTGCATCTACTTGAAATAGCTTAGCATTTAGTCTAACGTGTGGTTTTTTTTTTCAGTGAAAAAGAAACCCAGTTTTTCGAAGTGCAAGGTGTGATCACAGTTTCACAATGGTAACAAAATGGTGCATGGTTGATGGATCTTAACATGGCATCTGCCAGATAAAGTACAATCCAAGGAATCACTGAGCAATATTTTGATCACCTTTAAGTCATTTTCAGGAAGATATTTGCACTGTTTTGCTATTTCAATCCACTTGTCAACATCCGCCATTTTCGTTTTAGTCATCACGCACTAAAATTACACAATGATATGATTGGTTTAATTTCAAAACAAGAAAAGACAACTCCCTAGACAAAAATGAAATCTGATAATGATGTTTTAAAAAATATATAGAAACGAAATCATTAGTATTAAAGTATTACGTTAGCTGCGAATTGCCCTGAAAATCCACAGAATATCTACGTCTACGTCTGATCATACGCCGTGTAAAAGAAAACACAATTCGCTTCTTTGAGAATATTAATTGTAGTCAGAATACAGAAGTTGCTAATTGGTATTGCCTCCCTTAAATTGGAATCGGACCAAGTCGATTAGAACAAAATATTATTAATTAAAGACATAGACCCATATTATGAATTCGGACGGAATGTAAGAAAAATATTAATTTTTTATTTATCAATCGACAAGTATAGATTTGTAAATTTGAATCGTAAACCGATCCACATCTTCAGTAATTAATTGGTGCTAAGAAATTCACAATGAAAATATAGCTTTCCTTGATTAGCCTAATATGGACCTCGAAGATAGGCTATTCCGGGCTAATGTCTTATCTTTTGGATATAACTCATATTAGTTTGCATTTTATTGGATCACTAGGTTGGCATAGCCTTATTTTGCTCATTGGGGTAATCTTTTGCTTTTGGTGAGAGGAAAAAACCTGTACCGGAGAATCGAAAAACAATTGCCTTACCCTCTTAGCATCCTATATTTATTCAATTTAAGATACAAAATTTACAATGGCAATACAGAAACAAGTATATCAATGCTTATATTAATCTACTTGGTAATTTGGAAGTTTCTTACTGGCACACCACCATGTCCATCATGAAAGTTTTTGATATTTGTTTGAGACAAAAGGAGGTTTAAAATATGTACCAAATATTTCCGAGACGGAGACTTTTTAACCGCCATATAGAAATGATGTCGAGATTGTCGCAGATTAGTATCTGGTGTCTCAGAAGATTGACCATGCACTTCTGTTATTGGTCTCAGCCATATAGATCTACGTCAGCTTTTTTAGAAGTACGAATTCAAATATTTGGTCTGGAGCTCTGGACATTGCATAAGATAACTAAACTACGCCATGAACACTAAGTAAATTATCATGATAGACAGAATTAAGAAAAGATTCATGTGGCATTGACGTCAGTATGTTGCTGACATTTTAGTACAAGAAGAGTTTGTTGGTTAATATAATTTACTGGTAATCACATAGTTAATAAACAAAATAATATCGGTTAGCCTCTTAATGAAATGTGTCAGGATATGTTAGAAATGAAATAAGGTGGTTTTTATGTCTAGCCGTTCCTTACCTTGCTGAGCTTATGATGCTGAAATAATCCAACCTCGTGACATTTGAAGTGAAGCAAAACACTTTCATTTGTGCATTTCACTTGGTTCAATTTAAACGGTATCGCATCGCAGTTGGCAAACCAAAATGACCTCTTTTGCGATCCAATGTTTCCTTAGATTGGCCAAAATGAAAATTAATCACAACGTTCTGCGAATCAAATCAAATTATCTATTTTTCGTGAGAAGTTTCTGCCAAATCTAGAAATAACAGCAACTCTTTTGAATGGCTATAATCTTACAGAACTAACTCAACTAACTTCATTGTCAAGATCGCCCTTAAATCTACAACTGGAACATCGTGATTTTCTACACTATTTCATTTAAATGCGAATAAAAATTTAACTTGATGAGCCAAAACTAATCAAATTTTTCAATCTCAATTGAACCCTCGTACCAAGATGACAATTGTCCTACACCGGAAATAATTAGTCGACAATAAACCAAAAAAAAAAAAAAAATGATGAAAATAGAAATAAAACCTAATGATATTAGCACATTTTTAAAATGTTTTTTGTTGATATCAATAATATCTATTTTGAACATAAATTTTCATAATAAGTTTAATTAGCACTTTCATCTTCTTCAAAAAAAAAATAATCAACAAGAAAACGAATCCTGGATTCAAATACTGTAATAGATTTTTTTGATTCGACTTTCAAACGATCGGTTAGTGACCGGTCATTGCCTATTTAATAAGTATAAATCTCCTCGATTGTTTGGTTTTTATTTCGTTATTTCATTTAAATAACTTGTTTCCGTTGTTGTGAAAGTTATATCGTTTCATATCTCTAAAACTAATCAGAACTACTCAAATAAAAGACATGAAAGCACGAAATATTCTCATTGTTCTGAAGAATTTTCCCAGATTCAAGTCGACTATACAAAAAATAAATAACAAACAAATTAATTTTCATTATACATCATATTGTCATGTACTCACATCTATGATCACCTTCACAATGCCAAGCTATTACGTTTGATACTTTGAATGCAATAGCCACTATTCTTGTATCACGGAAGTTTGTAAATGCAGCGATTTGATTGCGAATATCAGAGGCTTCAACAATCCAATCAAATCACTGCAGTTCGTGATACAAGAAATTTGGTTATTTCAATCAAGGTATAAAAGGCACAGTTCACAATAGCTTGATTGTTGCGCCACACCATCCAGGGCCGAGTTTCACCGCCATGTCATTCAACCCGACCAGATCTAACGAAGAATCAACAACCAAACCAACAACACAGAATCATCCAATTTGAACCAATCCAACTACCAACTACTACGACTACCAACAACTACCTATTTTGCGATATCAGCATCCGCTGGAAGCGAACGTTAACTTGTCATCTGTTGTGAAGGAGGAAGTCATGTGTCAAGGCAAATAGAGACTACGAAGGCAAACTGGGATTTCTTTAGACGTCATTTCACTCGTTCCAAGCTAGATCGGGCAAGGGACGAGGACGTCTCTAGTTTTTCTGGGAAGTTGACTCAGGTTATTACTGATGCTGCTATGGGCTCTATTCCCCGGACTAAGGATGGCATTGCACGTAGGTCACTCAAATCCTGGTGGTCCGATGAACTCCATGCTGCCGTGGATGCTCGCAAGCATGCTCTACGGCGGTTTCAGAGGAAATCGAACCGTTACACCAATGCAGATTACTTATCGGACAAGGCTTTTACAGCTGCTCTGTTGCGCGAAACACAAACAAAGCACTGCCAGGAGTTCTGCAACTCATTAAATGAGAAAACAAACCTAAGATCTGTCTTGTGTAAAATAGACTCAATGCTTGGTAAAAAAATCTAACTCTTCCATTCCAACTCTTTGTTACAGGGATTCCACAGAATACAGCAATGAAGGAAAAGCCAATTTGTTAGCCAAGTGTTATGCTGACGACAGTGCTGATACCAACCATACCAAAGAATTTCTGAAGAACAAGAAAACCTTCTACATCACAACCACACCACACGATTCATCACTCGCTTTTAGAGGAAGAACGGGATCTTAACGCTCCCTTTACCCTCGATGTGCTGAAGAATGCACTGTACAGTAAGAAAGACAGCGTTACTGGTGAAGATAATATCAAGTACAGCATGTTAAAGGAGTTACCAATGGAAGCGTCTACAGTTCTACTGGAATTATTCAACAAATCATGGTATAATGGTACAATTCCCGAAAGTTGGAAAACGGCAATGGTCATTCCTCTACCAAAACCGAAGAAGGATAAAAGTCTATGCAGTTCATACAGGCCTATTTCTCTGACCTCGACTCTACGTAAAACATTTGAGACGATGGTCAATAATAGACTGTTATAGGTATTACAAAAGTATGTTAGATTTCTCCATATAATTTGAATAGTAATTTCAAAAGGTATATCAGTTTTTACCTTGTGATATGAATATTCACCTCGTTATATGAATAATGATCTTGATAGATTTATACCAGTTTTCTTCTCGTTATATGAATAATGATCTTGATAGATTTATACCAGTTTTCTTCTCGTGATTTGAATAATACTTTTGATAGATTTATACCAGTTTTCTTCTTGTGATTTGAATAATAGTTTTGATAGGTATATATCATTTTTCACCGTGTGATATGAATAATAGTTTTGATAGGTATATGTCAGTTTTCACCATGTGATATGAAAAATAGTTTTGATAGATAAATGTCAGTTTTCACCATGTGATTTGAATAATAGTTTTGATAGGTATATGTCAGTTTTCACCATGTGATATGAATAATAGTTTTGATAGGTATATGTCAGTTTTCACCATGTGATATGAATAATAGTTTTGATAGGTATATGTCAGTTTTCACCATGTGATATGAATAATAGTTTTGATAGGTATATGCCAGTTTCTCTTGGTGAGTTTAATAATAGTTTTGATAGGTATATATCATTTTTCACCGTGTGATATGAATAATAGTTTTGATAGGTATATGTCAGTTTTCACCTTGTGATTCAAATAACAGTTTTGATAGGTATATGTCAGTTTTCTCTTGTGGTTTAAATAATAGTTTTGATAGGTAAATGTCAGTTTTCTCCTTGCGATTTTAATAATAATTTTGATAGGTATATGTCATTTTTCATCTTGTGATTTAAATAATAGTTTTGATAGGTATATGTCAGTTTTCATCTTGTGAGTTTAATAATAGTTTTGAAGGGTATATGCCAGTTTTCATCTTGTGAGTTTAATAATAGTTTTGATGGGTATATGCCAGTTTTCATCTTGTGAGTTTAATAATAGTTTTGATGGGTATATGCCAGTTTTCATCTTGTGAGTTTAATAATAGTTTTGATGGGTATATGCCAGTTTTCATCTTGTGATTTAATAATAATTTTGATAGGTATATGCTAGTTTTCATCTTGTGATTTAATAATAATTTTGATAGGTATATGCCAGTTTTCATCTTGTGAGTTTAATAATAGTTTTGATGGGTATATGCCAGTTTTGGGTATATGCCAGTTTTCTCCAATGGGATTTAATAATACTTTTGATGGGTATATGCCAGTTTCATCTTGTGATTTAATAATAGCTTTGATAGGTATATTCGAGTTCTCATCTTGTGATTTAATAATAATTTTGATAGGTATATGCCAGTTTTCATCTTGTGATTTAATAATAGTTTTGATGGGTATATGCCAGTTTTCATCTTGTGAGTT